CAGAAGCGTTGAAGCTTCAACGCACACCGCCGTGTGGACGGGCCGTAAACGATGGACGGCAGAAATGGTCAAAGCAACACTCACGCAAAAAAGAAAACATCAACAAGACAAGTTGCACATGGGAAGCTAATAAGCTGCAATTAGGTGCACATTTAATCGTACCAAGCATGTAGGTAAACAACCAGGTTTGATCTAAAAGACAGTAAAGTATTTGATGTTTGCTATTATTCTCCAGCATCCTTCTCCGGGTTTCAAATCACTTTTCTTTCTCCACAGCACTCAAGGACACACATGTGCAGTTGCACACAAACACATTACTAACACACACACTCCAATCCCCGCTTTAAATCGATGGCCAATCACCTACCTGAGCAGACTCCCCCGTGATTCATTATCATTTAGTAGATGGGTTATGGGTAGGGAGTGGAAGGAACCCATTGAATGTAGCCGGTCAGATCATGACGTCTTACCAACCATTAACTGAGAAAGCTGTTAGCCCTGAGTAATTTCTTCCTTCTGTAAGACAGAGACACGGCCTGTAGGTATACAGGCCGTAGGCTACATTTAATCTGAAGATTTCTCGGGCAGAGGTTACCAGCAGCAACTGAGGGTCCCATCAGAGAGGTAGGAGGAGAACCAGAGATGCCCACTCACTGCCTGAGTCTGTTTATTAGGATACTGTGGTAAACAGTAAGATGCACCAAGGTCCAACACCAGCAAACCAGAGTATTCTCTTGCATCACCATGCATAAAAATGTAATGTTAGAAAAAGTTTGTTCTTGTTGAGTACAACTGATGGAAGAAACCCCTTTTTCTATAGGCTATCAAACTTAACACGAAAACAACACGTTAACGCCAATTCCTTTTGACAGCACTCTTTTGACACACTTTTTTTTGACGGGCGATTAGTGTGCTCACCCTGGGAAATCAGTGAGCGAGGGAACAGTCAGCTTGTGGATGGTGAGCATAAACAAGCCTCCAACGGATAAAGTAATGTTCAGATTGAGAGCCCAACCAGATGTTCTCTCGACAAGACCCAAGTTATATTTACTGTCACTGTTAACAAAGTTACGACTGAGGTAGGTTAAGGTCTTGTTGTAGTCCAATCTTGTTGAAAGTTGCAGTTTTAATCTATTATTTATATATTTATCAAATGTTTCTAATTACTAGTTCTCTGTATGCCATGCTGATAAAGAAACTCATGATGCTGCTCTGACTCGTGGAATTCCTCAAGGGTCAATCCTTAGACCCTTTATTTTTTCTATAAATGCTCTCTTTAGGTCATGGTTCTTTAATATTGGCTCCCAATGTTTAACTGTAAAATTCGGAGTGGCCATCGTAATATTGCTCGATAATACGTTATTTTTCAACAACAAAATAATGTCCCAAAATACACATTACAGTTACATAATGGGGCGGCTGTGGCTCAGTGGAGAGTGCGCTGGACTTCGAATCAGGGGGTAGCAAGTTCGAGTCCCACTGCAGTCAGCATGTCGTTGTGTCCCTGAGACAATTCACCCCAAATTGCTCCTGTGGGGACTGTCCACAGTACTGAATGTATGTAAGTCGCTTTGGATAAAAGCATCTAACAAATGACATGTAGCATAAATCCAACATATAAGTAGACATAAATCGGTCACTTTGTTAAAAAAATGTAGGTTTTTTATCATCAACGCTACTGTTACCAAAGTATCCTTGTGCGTCACGACTATGTATCCATATTTTAATACATAGTATTATATTCATCATAAACGCAGGTGTTAATAGATGGCATCTTAGGCTAACCAACACAGCCAAGCCAAGTTTAAAATACAACTGTTATACATTCATTTGTGGGTACTTTGGCTAGCGTTACATGTATATGTTGGATTTACTGTGTTTCTGAATTTCTTGATGAAATCCTTAAATTCCTTTAGTCACACACCTTACATGAAATATTCCCAATTTGGCTGTGCACTACTGTGTGATTGATAAATAGGGCTGGCATGTACAGTATACACATCATACAGTATGTGTATACGACCTCATCTGCCACGACTCCTCACTACAAGATTTATTAAGTTATGCTATAAAATACATAGAGAAAGTCAGTGACAAGAGAGTTGGAGAAGGAAAAGAGAATGATGCATATGGAGAAAAAATAATAAAAGGATAGGAAGAGATGAAGGGCATAAGTCAAAAGAGACAGAAAGACAGTAAGAGAGAAATGAGAACACCGGCATGATGGAGAGCTGTATACAGAGCTGTGTACAGCAAGGAAACTAAATATGTTGATAAAAAAATACCCGCATTGGCGTTTACTTGAATTTATGAGGCCGTGTTGGACACCAAGAATTAGGAGGAAGGGCGATAGGCAGAGATACGCTATACACTTTGCTGAAAAACACTGGCAGGCAGAGGTCACTAAATCCTGCCTGCTTTGTTCCTTTCCTATCTCCTATCTACCAAGAGAAAAAACTACAGACTGACAGTAAAAGAGCAGAGGAGAAAATATTGAGAAAAGTAATTAAAAGCACAGAAAAAATACTATAGCCTAAGTCTAACCAGAGTTACAGGGCCTCGGGTACAGCTGTCTCTATGCATACAGTAACACATTATAAATGAATGGTGCGATACTGCTATGAGGTTTGGAGAGGAGAGTGTGTTCTCTAAATAAAAACTACCCAAAGGGGCTATCTCCTGCTATGAAACAAGTAATTTTCGTCCTACCAAAACTCACATCCATCAAATCCTCTCCATCTCTCAACCCCTCAGTCTGCCCGGCCTTGTTGGAGGTTTTAACAAACTCGAAAAGAGAAAGACCGGATTTGGGAATAGACCGGAAAGTGGGAACAGGAGGAAAGTTAATGAGCTTAGCCACACTCAAATCATGCTGAATTTCTGGGCCGATGTGTGAAACAATGACATGCAAAAGACGCTAAGACCCACAAAATGACATGCTGCCTACTAACCGACAAGTTTAGGGGCAGCCGGCTTAACCGGTGAGCCTTGCTGCTTATTATTATCCATCTGTCCATCGAACACACGCGCCGCCACTCTGAGTAATACTCTGAGAGCGCACGAACATGCTCTGGATGTGCTGTGGTAGTCATGGGGACGAGCCACATCAGAGCCCTCACCGATGTTGCCCGTGAAGCAACCCAAGGGGGACCCGGACCGCAAAGGCTGCGAGGGGGCCTCCACACGCTGCATCTCACACCGGCTCTCATCCTGTCTCTGTTTAGGAGAAGGCTCGTAAACTGGACATTGAGGCGCTTTCACGCTCAAACCTGCTGAGGAATGAGCGGAGGTGTGTGCAGTGCTATTCACACAGTGCGTAATAACAGCCCTATAGGCTCATTACGACCGTGTGTAGTAGGCACATCTGGGACAGAGAAAAACCGTGCTGCCTATAACCGACAGGTTAGGAGCATCAGGTTTAAACGTCAAGCCCTGCTGTATATTAACCGACTGGTTGAATACAGCTGGCTTGTGCAGCGAGCCCTGCTGCCTGCTAACTGACAGGTTACAGCCGGCTCAAACGGCGAGCCCAGCTGTCTGTTAACCGACAAGTTAAAAAACAGCTGGTTATGCACCTCCACACGCTGTGTTGCACAGCGGCTCTCATCATGTTGCCGTTTAGGAGAAAGCTCGTAAACCGGACGTTGAGGCGTGTTCACGCTCAAACCCGCTTGAGGAATGAGTAGGAGGCACATTATGCAGCTTTTTTTATGTCATCCGGAGGAGAGCTCTCCTGAACCGGGGGAACGGGGAGATCTCATTAGGCGGCTGCCTTTCCGATGATCTCCGGGAGTTCCTGGAGAATACCGCCTATCGACGGCAGATAGGGACCCGGGACCCGGGGTTAGCCCTGTCTCCTCCGTCCGGAGGAGAGGGAGGATGGGGGAACCACATGGTGATCCATGAATGGAGGGGAAGGAGTCGCCTGACTGCTGCCCACCACTCGGATCCAATAAATAAAGGGCTTGGTCCACGGAGTAAGACTCCTGGATTAGCCAATCATCCTCGGCCGCAGCAGCGAGAGCGTCCGCTCTCCACTGTCTGCGGGCCAGAGGGAGACGGACACAATGAGTGCACGACACCTGGGGAGTGAGAGCCTCGTTTGCGTGCTCCAATCCCAGGCAGGACTCACACCGTGAGCGTCGGTCGTAACTCATAATGTATCCTGTTTGGCATCTTAATAATTGGAACAAAAGCTTTTTAGAAGAGGAATCTTTGCTTTTTAGCCTGCAGCTCTGAAAAGAGCTGGTGCCTGACAGTGCTTCTGCAACGCAGTGCTGAAGAAAAATGGGAGCAGATGGTCGAGCCTACTTCCTATTTATACGGAAGTGAGTCCGTAGGTGGGGCCCACGTCATAGGTGGGCGTGGATTAAGTCTGTCAGTGCTGCGCATGCGCAGTGGTATTACCCAATAGCGATAGCCTTAGAGGGCGAATCCTATACGATATAGAACGCGCTGCACTTTTCAAAAGGATGCAAATATAAAAATACAAGCAAATTAAGAAACATCTTAACCAACTAGACAACACATACGCAACATTTAGAAAACATTCACCTATTTGACTAAACTTGGCAACTTTATAATCCTCAAACATCCCAGCTGTGTGCATCTTATGTTAGTGACCCTGTTTCTTTTGTGTTTTGAGCTTCTTGCAGAATTCCGTTTAGGCAGTGCTTTCAGTAAATGCTGCACATGTTTTCTCAAGTTGGTGAAAATGTTTTTTCATTTGCATGTGTTTTGGCATATTTTTGTTCTTTTATATGCAAAGTTTTTGCAAGTGCAGCAAGTTTCTCCAAATGTAAGTGTTTTGGGCCGTTGTAGCGTCCTGTTGACCACCGTAGTTTTCTGTGTTTGGCCGTAAAAGTGTATTCAGGTGAGTTTAGCACAGCAATAATGATGGCATAGCTACACATATCCGATGGTGGATTAGTCTATACATGGAGTATGTGTACATGTGTACTGTGTCTTTGTGTAAGCACAGTGCAGAGTATGACACTCACTCCACAGGGGGGTGGACATCCTCTGCTTTTGTCTCAAAGAAGCGCAGGACCTCCTCACTCTGAGAGATCTGAGGGGGGAGTCGCACCAGCGCCTAAAGACAGAGACAGATAGAGAACAAGGGGTCAAAAATGTTAATAGAAAATGTTTTTGTATTTACAATATATTAATGTTGTAACCAACAGAGCATTATCACCCAATTCTGCAGTTCCAACTTTACTTTATGGAAACTCAATTAATATTACATCAAGTACAAAATAAAAATAAACAGTTTTACCCACATTTTCTTTCAGATGAAATAAATTCATAGTATGAAATCAAAAAAGTGTATTCTAGCTAAATATTTTTCTATAGTCATTTGAAGCAGAATGGCAGAAAGAATAGCTTATATGAGTTATCCAAAAACATTTTGGCCAAAGACCTCAAATCTTATGGTGAAAATAACTAGAAACGTAATGATAAATATGATTCAAAACAGTGTCAAGGTAAGGATTTAAAGAAGTCAAGAACAGGGGCTTAAATTATAATACATCACCAATACTGTTAACTTACTAAGAAGTCATAAACACAGGAGAGAAATGCTCTTTTTTGCATCTCAGAGCCTTCGAAGATTTTTTGGCTTTTTTAGGAAAATAATTGTGTCTCAATGTGCAGGAGTACGTATAGTTCCACAAATGGTAAAAAGCATCCTCCCACTGCTGTATGTTCATTAATAAAGGCCCACTGCAGTCAAAGAGAGGATCACATGTCTGACTAACCATCTATATTTAATGATGCATCAGCTCATGTACAGAGCAGAGGTGCTGGACCATAAAGATATGTGACAACGTATGTACAGACTTTCCTTTTCAATCACCACGATCCAAGCTGCCTTCATATTTCATTTATCAGATCCTTGTTATTATATATAGAGAGAGAAAGGGCCTTGTTGTGGTCGTGATTGAAGAGGCTGTATCTCACAGTGCAAAGGACTCAGCATCCTGGAATCTCCACAGAGTTAATTAGTCATGTTTGCCTCATAAACAGGATGCAGGAAGTAAACAGTGCGGCACACTGGGTAAAAAACACAGGCTCGCCATAGCAACTGTAGAAATAAGAGTGCTTCAGGTTATTTGGCTAATGAAGAGGCCTTTGTGTGTGCTGAGCTAAGGATCAGGTTCATTTCAGATGTGTGTGATTGCATTTCGGTTTTAAACTTTTTTTGGTTCCAATTACTGAGCCAATTCTGGGGCTAACCTTTTCCTAATGCTCGGCAACAATTCTGCCTCCTAATTGTGTGTATAGAAACAATCTAACATTTGATGTTATGCACCCTCTTCCTACCAGAGGAAAGGAGGAAGGAAGGAAGGACATGGGGAGGGCATGTTGGGATGAATGGATCTGAATCTGGCATAAATCAAATAAAAAACGAACAAAAGGGAGAACAGGTGACAAGGCGAGTGTCCCTTGAAATAAAGAGTGACAAAAGGCTGCTGCCATTTCCAAGGTTTCTTCGTCCTTTGGGAAGGTGGCGTTAATTTGGAGGAGAACTTTCTTTCCTAAGTGTGGCAAACGAGGGGAAATGGTCGTTAGTGAGCGTGACTTTGAAAATAATGGAAGGGCTCAAAGTCTGTCTCATGTAGTGCAGTGACGGATAAGTTTGATGCACAACTAGGTCGCCCCACTTCTCTGACTGTGGCACACATGAAAACAAACAACCCCCTTTGACTGTAGGAGGAAAAGATCATAACATTTCCCCACCGAGCCGGGGCTCTTGCACCCTCAGAGAGTTGAAGTGTAAGAGCACATTACTGATGCTGTGTCTCAAATCTGATATGGCCTGCACTCAGAGCACTTGCAGTGAACTCTGAGCGTGTAGTGTTGTCTCAATTTAAACAGCAGCTTTGCCCTGACCAGAAGTGATGATCCAATATGTAAGCTAGCTAGATAGCTTGCTATCAACAATTGTCCGCTGTACCAAATGTACCCTATAAAAATAACTTTTTCATCAGTATAGCGCTACATTACTTAAAGAGGACATGTTATGCTAATGTTCAGGTTCATATTGGTATTGTGTTCCTCCACTGGGACATGTCTCCATGCTTTAATGTTCAAAAAGCTCTTTATTTTCCTCATCCTGCCTGTGCTGCAGCACCTCTTTTCACCCTCTGTCTGAAACCAGAGCCCAGTCTGCTCTGATTGGTTAGCAGGCCGGCTCTGTTGTTATTTTTTCAACTGCTTAGAGGTGTGTTGGAAATGTCCCGTCCCTTAGCCAATCACGTAATTTCGTTATGTAGCCAAAATGCCGGTCGTGGAGTGTGAAAAGTGTGTTTCTCACTAAATGTTTGGACCGTTACGAGGGCACAAGTGGGTACTCGTGGTGCATCAGGCCATACTTCACATTGTGACGCATGTATGCATTTATATCAGCAAGTGCAAGTACAGATGCATGCAATATGAGACACAGCACCACTCTTAACATTTCTCAGATTATCTCAGATACCAAACTCTTTAGTGCGAGTTAAAAGTTTCAACGTCCACATTTGAGTCTCATGTGCTGTGTTTAGAGCTTGAGAAAGGATCTTTGACCCCTCACAGGCTGAAGGACATTCCCCAGAGTCAGGTGAGGAACTGAAGGATGTTTACAGTAAAGGTCTCTTTACCCTGCAGTAGTCGTCGATGAAACGCAGCCGCTTCATGGCCACGTCTCGCACATGACTCCTCCGGAACAGGATTTTGCCTGAAGGGGAGGAAAAGGAGAAACAAATCAGGAGGTGAAGGAAATGGTGATAACAGAACAGGACAGAAAAGATGGAAAAGGGATGGAAGAATCTGACAGGGTTAACAGGACCTGAGTCACCACTGAAAGGGTTCTTTTCGCTGATTGAAAATCATCCGTCTTATTACAGAGCAACTTACTCCATAAATCATTAATTTGACACAACATATTGATTTGAACATGATTTTATTGATAGAAGAATTTCTGTTTTGCTCAATCTAAGAAAAAGTCATCCGTTGAACTGAGTCGTAACTTAAAATGACGGCAATGCTGATCAAGGTTTTTATAAATGTCCAAGTCTGTTAAAATGTAATTTTCTAATAACCAGTCTTTACACCCTTTTGTGTTTACTTTCTGTCTGTCTTCTTCTGCTGTTCCTATTAGTGTTTACTAGCTGTCTGTCTTCTTCTGCTGTTCCTATTAGTGTTTACTAGCTGTCTGTCTTCTTCTGCTGTTCCTATTAGTGTTTACTAGCCTGTCTGTCTTCTTCTGCTGTTCCTATTAGTGTTTACTAGCTGTCTGTCTTCTTCTGCTGTTCCTATTAGTGTTTACTAGCTGTCTGTCTTCTTCTGCTGTTCCTATTAGTGTTTACTAGCTGTCTGTCTTCTGCTGATCTTAGTCTTTTAACCAACCTCTCTTGTTTTCTTGTTCTCTTTTTACTTGTTCAGCCAACGTTTCCTACTCTTCACAAATATGAAACTTAATGGTATTCAATTATGTTTTTTGACTGAGGGAAACTGATGTGTTTTTGGCCACAGCTGAATCTGATATAACATTTCTGCCAATTGATATGACTGCACATAAGATAAGAGCGTCCTTAGCAGCAGTTTGCTATCAAAAGAGAACAGACCACTGAATGTCCAGATTGACCAATCCGAAGCAAGTATTCAACTAATGTACTAATGTACTAAGGTGTACTAATCACACATACATCCCTACAAATACACCAGCTGTGAGGTGTCGCTGAATGTATTCCCCCAGCCCAGCAGCAGATGTCAGTAATCTACGCAGGTGGTTCAAAAGCAGCCTCAGCCCCTGACTCAAGGCCCCAGCTGTCCTCCTATGGATTCCATGACCTCTGTGACATGGCTTTCAAAATAACAAATAGAATTGAACACACATGGGTCATGCTGCATTCATCCCACGCAGGGGGAGCATCGAAGACACACCACCACTACCCTACCCTAGTCTGCACTCATTTTTGCAAGTGTAGAAAAGCGTATATGGATCTCCTATTTAAGGAGCTCTACTTATGCAATATGTTTTTTTACCCAACATCAGAGTTTTCTGAAAAGTGTCAACGATTTACTCTTGGTTACACATTTTGGAGGGTAACATTAACTAAGGTATTTATGCAACCACCGTTTTTAAGACAAATAGAAGCTTCAGACATTTGCCAGTGGCGTGTTTACTGACGTATTTTACGACTTAAACAAATTGTGAACATCCAGTGTTTCCCACAGATCTGAAATATACTTGGGGGGGTGGTGGTAGCGGGGGGTTGAGGTGACGTGACGTGCAACAACATTAACCTTTCTGTTGGTCGCTTGTTAGCAGACCCTTCACGCGATGGCAGAGCGAACAGGTACAGGCAGGGCCCATAATGATAGCCCTATAGTTTAAATCTACTACCCACACATGACCATATGGAAATGGGTTACTATTTAAAAAGATAAATGTATTTATAAATTTATTTAGGAACCTATCCATGTGATTTTTAGTGGGGGTCGACCTCAAATTCTCTAGGGGGGTCCAGGGGCATGCCCCCAGTAAGATTTTATTTTTTATTTTGGAGTTAAATGCATCAATCTGGTGCATTTTGAGGGGAAAATAAAGAGACAAGATCTATGGAAACACCTATATTAAACAGAACTGTATACATTTAAATAATCATAAAATCATGGCCATAACCAATAACATACCATTTCCAATATGAAAAAAACACTGACACTTGTTTATTTATTTTTGGTTCATTTATAGTTGTGAGTGTGTCTGTGCTCCTGAATCAGCCTCTCCTGTCTCCCTCCTCTCCCCCCTGCTCCTCTTTGAGGCAGCAGCAAAGACTAGTTTTCTCTCAACAAGTTTTAAAAGTGTATCTTACCTTTTTTCACCTAGTTAACTTTTTATTTATTTATTCATGCATATTTTACTAATCACATTACATTTCATTTAGCTGACACTTTTATCCAAAGCGACTTATAATGACCGATTACAGGGACATTCTCCCTGGAGTAACTAAGGGCTAAGTGCCTTACTCAAGGGCACACTAGTGTTCCTGGCGGGATTTGAACTCACAGCCTTCCGATCTTCATCCCACCTCACTATCCATTAGACCAGGAGTGGCCAACCCGCGACTCTTTGCCCAGTCTCATGCGCTCCTCAGTTCATATCGAATTTTAATTGTGTTTTTTTTTGTTTGCGCATATGTATCCCAGTTCACAAAGGGTTAACAACACAAGTTCCAGCCCAATCGTTACACAGAGTTTTCAACAAGAAGTGCTTTAGCCAATCAAAATGCAGATCCTGCAGTACTGGAGGCGGGCTTTACTGCACTCGCGATGTGACAGTGAAGGGAGAGATCTGCTTCCGATTGGCAGAAATATAACTCAGATAAAACCGTAATAACTCAATATAATGTTGTCAAATCAAAACGGTAACAATTTGCAGTGGTATATATGTGTATGTGAGAAGGCCTGCTCCCGGAAAGCTGGCTACTGACACAGAAGGGCTCCCGAATTTGGTGATTCGCGGTAAAGAAATAAAAGAGAGAAAGTGCATCTCTGTCAGCAGAGCTTCTGTCAGTCAGAGGGTTAGGTAAAAGTTGAGATGTCATGTGAGGAGAATTAACAAAAATACACTTTATTTATTTTCATTTATTTTTAATAACTCTCATGAATCTGTGTGTGAGATACAGACAGGGAGAAAAAATTCGCAAAGATCGCAAATGTGCCCTTTCATGCATTTGAGCCCCTTCCACATCCTCTGCACATTTCAAGAAGCAACATGCATACTGTAGTAAGATAACTACTTTTTTCAAATGTTTTTAACTGAGAGTTTGTGTGTGAGACACAATATTAATGGTTGACTATAACTGGCCTCTGATCTTAATACTGGTAGGAGAGGTTTAAGTCAATTTCTGTCAATATCATGGACTGTGACATTTATAGGAAATCTGGCTGAGCGGAGGTAGGCCTATGTGTTTCTGTATGTGAGTGTGTGTGTGCGTGTGTGTGTCAATTATTGTTCATTTTTAGATTTTCATTTTCTATGTGTGAGAGATAGAGAGGGGCACATAGAGGAAGAGAGTGAGGGAGCACACAGAAAGGCTGAGAGCAAAAGAGAGAAGGAGAGAGAGGTCGGGGGACATACACCCAGCATCTGTGCCTGTGTGTACTGTATGATGTGGCTCTTTGCAGTAACACAGGACAATTATTGGCTCTTTACCTCTGATTGGTTGGCCACCCCTGCATTAGACCAATCACTATACCCTCTCAAATGGAAATATGTGTTTACATAAATGGTGACCACACCGTTTGAGACCCACTGAGAACTTAGACTAAGTTAACTATCTAAACACTCAGAGAGTCCTTTACCTCACCTGAGCTGAGGTTATCCCGAGCTTGAATGACACACAGAGACCAATCAAGGGCTTTGATTTGATCATGTCGGCAGGCCACATCATGTAGACAGCCAGTCACCCTGTGTGAGGCAGGCCACTTAACAGGCCAGAAGGAGGCGAGATCAGAGAAAGGGAGCGAGGGATCATTGTCCACAAGTTAATCGATCGCAGATGGCGTCGTGGTCACGGACGAAAAAAAAATAAATAATAATAATTATTTTAAAAAACAACAACAAAAAAACCTAAATGGGTCGCGAAATATACTTGGGCGGCCGTTAATATACCTGGACGGCCCGCCCAAGTATAGTCTATGTGTGGGAAACCCTGACATCTCTTTAGCTTGCACAGGCCTTATTTCAGGCATCTGACCAAAGACACTTTGAAAATAAGAAATGTTGAATTTAAGACGAGGGAACTGGAAGTGGTAAAATGCAAACTCATTTCTGTTTTTTACAAATTAACTAACTACTCTCGGAGGCACCCAGAAGATTTAGATCCACCTTGAATCATCTTAATTTCTTATATTTATATATTATACATTATCTTTTCTAATATTTGGATATTTCTTAATATATACACATGACACTTACTGCATATCTGTCTGTCCTGGAAGAGGGATCTCTCCTCAGTTTGTCTTTAAGAGGTTTTTCTCAGAAAGAAATATTTGAATTGTAGGGTTTCTTTGGGAGATGTTTTCTTTGTATGATGCAAAGGTCTAAGGACAGAGGGTGTCGTATAATGTACAAACTGTAAAGCCCCCTGAGACATATGTTGTGATATTGGGCTGTATTAATACAATTTGATTGTCTGATTGATTTACCAAAGTCATTCAACACTAACCTTAAGAACATCAACCACCTTTTGTTTAGTAGCAACAATAGTGCCAAGGTTTAATACCCAGCCCTAGATACCAACATATCTCTGTAAGGCAACATTTTCATTTCAGTTGATGCCCCATAATAGAAAGATAGTCATGCAGTTTATTGAATCCCCCAAGTGTCATACATGCAGGGGAGAAGAGTCTATCCTCAACCGAACACAGACAGTCAATAATGTTTGCATCTGTCTTCATAGAAAAGAGGTAGGTGGTTTCCAAATGTGTGTGTCAGAAAAAGAGGGAAAGATGGGAGATGGAAGAGCTTTTACAGTAGATGCACCCAGCTGCAGGGCTTGAACAGAGCATCAACTCAAATAAACCGCAGTAAACAGACATATTACTACCAAATAAATCTGCAGAAATGTGCATGGCAAACACACAGGTGTACACGCACACACACACACACACACACACACACACACACACACACAGGTACACACACACACACACACACACACACACACACACACACACAGGTACACACACACACACAGGTACACACACACACACACACACACACAGGTACACACACACAGGTACACACACACACACACACACACACACACACACACACACACACACACACACACCCCCACACACACACACACACGACATGATTGTGATTAGCAGAATCGCTGTCAGCCTTTCTGCCCCCGACGCTGCACCTCCACAAACACCACCATCGATCACTGCCACTCTGTAGGTCGCCATGAGCCTGAATGTCAGCCGCCGACTTACAGCAGCAGAGACAAGCATGTGTGGAAGGACTCCAATCAATGCTGGGACACTCGTACACACATACGTACACACACACGTACACACACACACACACACGTACACACACACTACACACACACACACACACACACACACACACACACACACACAACATTCAAATTGAACAGGAAAAATAAATCTCACTGGCAAACATGCCTGCATACAAAAACAGCTGGAAATTGAAAATCACAGAAAGTGGCGAGTCAGCATTAACAGGGTAACAACACATGCGTACACACACATGCAGCACAGGTAGGCATCAGTAAACCAACTCTTATTGACCACCACCCCCCCCCCCCCCCCCCCCCCCCCCCAGCCATACATTATTAATATGAGAGCCTGTTCAGATAACTGGGAGCTCTGGAGCACACTGTTACCTGGGAGAAATGGGATGATCCTCTTCTTTGGGTCTTTCTGCCCTCCCTCAATTGGGAACTTGTCAAGTATCTGCATCTAGGGAAACAAAGATAGGAGAGAACAACTTTAATCACATGTCTTTCATTTTTTGTTGGCTCTATTTCTGAGAGTGAGATGATGAGATCGATATCAATCTCAATTCTTAATTGTTGGAGTTGGAGCCAAAGGTCTATCAGCTTAAAGCATTGCAGCTGGTTGCAAGAGAGTGGTGCAGGAATGAGTCTTATACACAGAAGTTAGTTCGCTTTTTAACACTTCTCCTCAATGTCAATGATCCGTCTAGACGACTTTTCCGACTTCTCACATTGACTGGAATACCCCTGATGTGCAATAACACTGTCTGTAAATATGAAACTTCATGCAATATACCCTCATGCAATTTCACGTTTATTACCATGGTGTACATATCTGCTATTTTCTTTAAGTGTTGTACTTATTGTGTTATAATAACTTGTATATACTTAGCCATTGTTCTCTCTGCTGTTGTAATAATGTACATTTCCTCGTTGCGGGTCAAATAAAGGATTTCTGATTTTGAAAATCTGTTACTGCGCTACAATGCCCAGTCAACTTTTTCTTTGATGAGATTTGGTAAGATTCCCAAATTAAAATATGTGGATAATCCAACCTTACAAGATTTTAACAACGTAAAACGAGTTAGTATCATGAACTTGTGTTTTCCACAGATCTTATTTTCTGCAAAATTCCAAAATCCAACAAAATAATCCCATTTATTTTTGTCAAGGGAGCCCTAGGGATGCTCAATTCCAGGTTGGCCTGGAGCAATACTCTAGACAATGTTACAAGGGTACGTTACATGTATGACACACTTTCACCTAATCAACACAGAGAGGTCCCGGCAGGATTGAATACAGACCTGCTGAGTTCCAACCGAGGATGGAGAAACGTTTATAGATGGTTTCATCTGTATACACTCTCTTTTAAGGCTCAGCAGTTTGCCTACCAACAATTAATATGCTATTTTATCCATACACAAAAGGGTGTGCAAAGTGTCAATAAGTGGTTTTAGAACGAGTTACATTGTGTAACCATATATTGGTGAACAATGGCTGAGAGCAGCAACTTCCCTCGCTGTCAGTTAGAGTGATGTTGCCTGGTAACCAGCAAAGAAATGCTGGGCAGACATATACACTGTTCTTTCTCAAAAGAATACTTACAGCATCAAACACGCAATTTTTTTACATTACAAACAGGCAATAAACTCCTTTACCATTGCCAGTAGTGAACATCTTTCCTTTTTTTATATCTGTTTCTCCAGTCTTTCTCTCAAACTCATCAAAGTGTGGTGGCTTTTAGGAGAGCATATGAACTGTATGTGTTGCATGTTTATAAATTATAATAGTGGACCATATCCCTGTTTATTTCATTTATTATATATTCATTTATTTTATATTCATTTTTCAACGTTGTTGTGTTCGACCAAATGTCATGGACCTGGAGTCAATAAATACTGTAACTAGGGGGCTTTATTAGACCTCTGAAGCCTGCTTCCTGAACGCAAAAAGTATATTATACATCATGGTTTAACTAGCAACCATGGTTTGTAAGTATGCTCTGACCATTAACAGCTAGCTTAGCACTCACCCCCCAATTCTATAAAACACTTGGTGATTCCTTATTGCAAGCTCAACAGTCGCTAGCTAGCTAGCTAATAAGAAGATAGCCGCTTTCTATTAATGGTTGATGCGTTAGCATGTAAGCTAAAATGGCCATGTACTAACTCGCAACAAAATGTGTAATGTGTATCCTATACAACTTTGTGACAAACCACCATTTTTCCTGTTAACGGTCTTAGTGCTAAGCTAGCTAGCACAACAGCTAATGCACAGACATGATATTGATGTCTGCATTTTGACATTACACTCAGAAAGAAAACAATATGCTCGGTATTCTTTGAAATCAGACAGTTCATTATATGGTAACAAAGACTATTATAAGCAAATAAACCATATTAAACTATTAAATCAGGTAGGCTACCTTCCTTATGGGGATGGCATTTTTAATATGAACCTAATCCCCAGATGAGCGCATTACACACATTGTAAAAATCAAAGCCTGTCAAAGTGTCTTTGGTCGCGAGGAGCAGCGGGGACTCGTGAGTAGTTGGGGATTGCTGGAGTCAAACACGTTCTGATTTATTCATAAAGAACAGTGACATGATCATGGTGAGAGGAGAAGTGCTGACACTGGAGCTGGAGGGGCAGGCCCGAAGAAAATAAAGAGAACGAAGGAGGATGGAAGGGAAGAGAGAAGGTAATAGATAAGACAGAGAGAGGAAGAGAAGCAGAGGAGGTCAGGGGGTGTAGATGAGTGTGTCAGCCATATTGTGTTTACCTAGTTTCACCCTTCAAATAAATCATTCAACAGGGGGATTAGAGAGAAAGTAAAAGCAGAGGAGAGAAGCAGAGGTTTAGCAAACGTACTGTACGGCAATGCAACATACTGTTTATTACATATATGAGAAGGAGCATTGTCTCTGTGTCTGATGGCAGAGGGCTGTCTGAAGAATACCCTGGGGAACTAAGTGAGCTAAGAGCCTGGTGAAGCTTCAAGACATCTAGTACGGAGACGTCTAGTCACACACACACTTGAAGAGAGATGCTATACTGTAGGTCATGATCCAGATTCATGGTTGGTCTCCTAGCCTCCCCAAACCCCCTACTCCCAGTCTTCCTAGGAATATGTATCTTAAACTGCCAGGTTCCTGCATATATTCCATCACTTCCAGTGCTGCGACAGCACAACACTTGCAGCAGACCCAGATGCTTGAATCCCCAACTCAACTCCCCTCCAGGCTGCTCGGGACAACAAAAAGAACTCATGCTGAATTTACAACCCACTCTGAAAGACACAGAGGGCCCGACGGATGACAGAACAGCAGCCACACATTTAGCAGAGAAGCAGGTGCTGAGTTTGCAGCAAAAATATCAAATGTGAATGCACCATTTATTTTTCCCCGCCTTCTTAACAAATGTGAATAATGGGGAGGATTGGAGGTGAGGAAAAGGTCAAGGAGTGTGTAAGTATTTTGGGGTGTGTGTACAGGCAGGCTTGGGGGGTAACGGATGACAGGATTACGTAATCAGGAGATACAAAAAGGTATATTCCTTTACGGTTATGTCAGAAAAATACGTAATCAGATTACTTTTACGTTTCAAGATATTAGAGATTGCTTGCAGGATAACATTGTAACGAAATGTTTTAGTATTTAGCATTTAGTGTTTGTTGTAAAAGGGGCAGATTTGATTTCTTCTTTGTAAGCTCTGTAGGTTAATACTTTAAGTGTGAATATATACTCCTGCTGCCTGAGTTTGCTTTATGGTTTTCTTTGGTTAATTTGTTCTTTTTTTAAATTCAGTAGGTGCAACTATATGTTTATAAAATAGTGTGTGTGAGTCTAACTGTATGGATTAAACTAAAACAGAGCATTTTCTGTCAGCTCAGATTTTATTTCTGCTTTTTTAAACTGTAGTTTAACAGGAAACTAATTGTAAAGGAATGCATTTTTAAAGTTACCCACCCAATCCTGCTTACAGGTGCAAGTACAGCACAGGATAGAAGGACCCTGAAGCACCTCTTTGACATGACAGCTGACTATATTTGATCAGCGTTCTTTGTCCCAGCAAGCCCACCCCTCCCCTCACACACTTGGATCAAGGTCAACTCATTATTTGAAACGCTCAGTCTCCAGTTGGTTCGAGCCCTCCGAAAATTCACACTTTTCCTGACAATGCTGACAGATTCCTGGCAAGATGAAACGTACTCCTATCCTGCCAGGAACTGTTGGATCACAGAGAGAGAAAATGGTGAGAACATGTGGGACAGTGGGAGTCAGGTGACACGAGTGCTCTTCTACATGTATGCACCCTGTAGAGGAATTTTTCAGCACTTCTGTCTCACTTCCTTAACTTGTAATATGACACAATCGTTTACAGTCCAGGTAGTATTAGTCCATTCCCAAGATGTTGAAAGTGAAAGAACATAAATAAAATAATAAAAAAACACTCATGCCAAACCGTTGCTCCACTTCCCAGACTTCCCTTCACACTGTCTCCTTGGTAACCAGCACAGAGAGTGTGAGGAAGAGTTGTGAAGGGACGTGATTGGATGAAGCTGCGCCGCTCTGGACCACTAGTGTAAATGTTGGGAGTCAGGTAAAGAAAAAAGGGGGAAAAAGGCAAGAGGTTCTTTTATCTCTTGTCATAGTGAGTATAGATTACAATGACGTAATGTTTGCTCTACTGTCCAATTCATGCTTTAGCTTTTCTGCAAAGCTCCTACATCAGGGAGGAGATTCTGTTGTTGATTTTAACTTTGAATTGAAGCTGATCCAAATGCTGGACTACATTGCTCTGCATAAGTGCATTATCTTAACACACGGAAGGAATGTTAAGGATCTATATAAATAATAGTTGACAAAACCTGTGATTTATTTGCATAACTAAAAATAGTTTCATAGATAGTCTTTGGACATTAAGTATTCAATAATATGGTCCTCCTTGACAGTTTTGGGTTTAGAAATGTTGAATATTATCAAAAACGGGATCATGAAAGTCCTACCCAATCATGAAATGCATGAATTTAACCATTCAGACAGAATAATCAGGGCTAATAATGAGATATGTATAGCTGTTCAAGTATTGATAACATTGATAGAAAACTGAGACTGAGAGTTTGCTTTTTTTGTCAGAACAGTCCAAAATCCAAAGGGGATCCATTTACTGTCATTGATTGAGGACACAATAAAGACAAGGTTAACATTGAGATGCTGGTCCAAGAGACTGTTTGCTTTACAACTGATTCAATCTCTGAACCAATCGACTATCGATCTGACAAATATTTAACCTCTGAGCGCAACGGACAATATTTCAGGGATTCCAATGCAGCCAGCAGAAATCCAGGCCAAGACTTCCTCTTCTGTGTGCTGGTCATTGTTTACAGTCCAAATTGCACCTTGAGATGCAAGAATGAAGTTGGAGGTTAAGGATGACACCTTCAGGAAGCCTGTTTTCACA